CAGGCACATATGTAGGGTGCAGCTTTTCATGTGAACAGAACATAGTGGGCAGTTTTAAAAGAACAGGTGCAGGCTGTGCATATTTGATCCTAGTTTTGCAAAGATAGCATAACCTGTTAAACAACTTTAAATCTATGTGTTTTTCACCGATGATTGTTTAGAATCAACCCAGAAAATTTGGCATGAAGTTGGTAACAACGCATTTCAAGCAAGTGCAATGCTCTGTTGCTGCGTCCTTAGCTTATAACTTTATATTGATGACTTTATCTGACGGGTTAACGTGTCAAACTATATCATCAAGTGTAAAACATTGCCGAAACTATAAAAAAAGCGGTACATCGTCAGATTAGAGCAATTATATCCCTACAATAACTTTTGTTGGCACTAAAGATAAAGCAATACAGACAAAATAAGAGAAAAGCTCCTAGTTATGTAGCATACATCAGATATACTGTGCATTCAGTGACCAAATATACGGACATTCAACATCTTTTATTTTGATATCTTTCATTACGAAGCAACCAGATAAAATAAGAGAAAGCAGGCAAGAATAAAGCATAAAATCGAGAATGGTTGAATGAAGAGAACACTTCTTTTGTTTTAGAAAGAACCATGCCATGTGATAAATAAAGAGATGCATTAGATATGGTTCACGTGTTTCTGTATGAAATATTTAATGTCTCACAGTATTATCATGTGACAAGCGAACAATGAGCCTTCAGTCTACAATTATTTATTGAAGAGTGAATGCTTCCACCTTAATCGCACAGTAGTGTCTACATTTGAATTATCTACCACATTTAGATTAACGTGTATGTCTAACGTGTGTTGAATAGTTCCACCAGCCTTCCATCAAAGAATGATTATTGCCGATTATTGCGGTGGTAAACCAAAGTTTGATTCACCAAATCCCAAGTTAAAAGTTCATACTTCAACCCAAAAATGGTAATACCAAGCAGAGGGTGGTGATGTAAATTTTGATAAAGATCCGCCATAATTGCAAATGCAACATATTTTTGATTGAAACCAGGATTAGAAAACGAGAAGTTAAATCAGCGAAAGCAATCCTGTTTTCAAGAACTGTTATTTCTTTATCAAGATGGTAATCGTTTACGATTTGCTTTGCTAATCATCGTTGCAATAGAAATAGCACTGCCCCATTGCGTTAATTCTTACACTTTGCGGTAGAGCTTGAGCCAATTAGGTATTAGTGACAAGAGCAATTAAACATAATAACAATTTACATTACGTTTTCGCAACCGCAACCGCAATTGAAAATGATAATTGCGAAATTAGAGGATGCTTCGATTGATACAAATTGCACTATAATCATAATCTTGCTAGTCAAAGTAGCTTCAGATGTGCATTGCATAAACCATTAGATATCTTTAGAAAATTAAGTATGCTGGAGGAATTTCTTCAGGGGAAACAGGAACGGACCTTCATATGTTTGTAAAATTCTCTCAAAACAGTATGCACTGATTTGCAAGACATTTCTTTTGAAAAACGAATCACCTTGTCAATACTTGCAGGAAGTATCAAGAGAGTAATTTACTCGGGTGCGTTAATGGTGCTGCTTTGTTTAAGACAAAGAATAGTCGTATCTCCGCATTCTTTCTTGTTTTCCTAATTCATACGAATTGATTGGATGAGTCTGTTATCAGCAAAAACAAAGTGCTAATCACAACTCAAAAGAGGTGATAAAAACAGACACGAGGCTACCATATGATATCTTAGGGGTCAAAACATTTCACAATCCCTTTGTTTGCATTATCATGTAATAACCCAATAGAAAATATTGTTGAAGTTCTTTTCAAAACGAGACCAGCTGCACGCAGCTTCAATTAATATCCTTTTTGAAACAATACGTTTGAGATAGGCGGCAAATCGGCTTGAAGTTAAGTTATCAACAACGTGCTATCGCCCTTATCGTGATGTGCATTATAACCTCATTTAGGTGCTCGTAAGTACTGCATATGTCCAGGCTAATGGGGAATAGTGGATGCTTAGTATCGTCACTGTGGGAAAATCTGAGTGTGTGATTTGCGGTTAATTTGCACAGGTTGTATTTGTATATCGATGGTTTATAATATTCACGAAAATGTATTGGAAGAAAGTAACAGAGAGAGGTAAAGTCATATTCAAAATCTTAAAGAAGCAAAGTGAAAGCCATCAGAACGTAGTATAGTACTCTCAGTTTTTCATTACACAACTGAGGCAGACACTTCCTTTAGATATCTGCAAGCTCAAAAAAGAACAAAAATTTCTGAAAGATATCTGAAATAGGTAGTGGTGGTAGCAACTATATTTTACACCGGTAGGTTGATATACAAATATCAGCATATAGAGCGCTGTACATACGCAGCCTCAAGCAGAACGATTTTCTAAAACAACTAGCATTTTCCATAGTATAAGAGTTTCGTAGGAAAATTCCTCGTAGCAAAAATTATTCACTTCAAAATGAACGTCAAGTAGAAATACATTTATGTGTTATTTAAAGATAAACTTTTATTGCAGAATTCTTTGCTTATGCAATGATTTTTACCAATATGAGTTGACAACAATGGATTTTTCCTAGCTGATATCAATTGATAAGCCCATATCTTATTCTATCACGTGACAACACCTGCTTCTTTCTCGTTATGGAGAACCATCATTTTCCTGAAATTTGCATTTAAACTATTTGGGGCTTAAACCATAGTTCATGTTTGAGAATCTCAAATGATTCTCAGGCTCAAACGAGCTTTTGCCTACGTCTTTAATTTTCGTACCAGTTAAATATTTATGATAATTTCTCCGTCATTTTCAAATACAGCATATTTGTCTCCAGCAGCTGCGAAAATGACCTCGATAGAAAAACCGAAGGTGTCACAACAACGAACGATGAAATCTCCCAATCACACAGATTTGCTTTTGATGTGCAATCCAAGCTGTATTTATAGTTTTGATGGTCATTTGGCAAGTGTCTCTAATCCCATTGTTTTACGGAGTTGTTTTGCTATTCCCTAAAGTCACCTGTGTACGTTGGAGCGAATTTTTGCGAAACAGTTGCATATGTTTGCAGCATGATAGGCCATGATAAAGCATCATTTGTAAAAATATCTAGTGCGTCAAGCAATAACACTTGTACGATTTATTATTGCAAGGGAATTGAAATGCAAGGGAATTAACTGTCTCTTCATTCCTAAATGCTTGAAAAGTTCTAAGATTAAATCATGTGATAGTATCAGTTCTGAAGAAGGTAATCAGGCAATGATGAAAAATACACAAAGTAACCCTACAATGCCCGCGACATGGCTTATAACGTAGGCATAGCATGACAGGTCACTAAAAAAGGAGCCAACATGGGAAAAATAGATATGGAGAGACTATATGATAATTTCTCAATGGCTTTAGTTCTATTAAACCTAAGTCCACCAGAGCCTGCCAATTTTCATAAACTATTATTAGAAAACCTGGTCGTGATACTTGAAGACAATTTTAGGAACATCAATGATTACTTGCCTTTATAGCTTTATCAATCACTTATCATAATAAGAGAACATCGATGAAATTTGTAACTTATTCTACGAGGATTTAGGAATTAGAAAAAGGTGAATGATTGTTGTGAAAAGTATGCAAAAAGACAGCTCCTATTTTTCAGAAGCTGTTTTTTTGGGATTGGAAAGTGAATTTTTACAATTGAAGTTCAAAGCATTCAGTACTCATACCTGTTTTATGAAGTCTGAAAAACTGACAAAGCAACATTTAAAAGCAACATTTGAAGAAACAGAAGATAATCGCATGGGGTCTCAAGGCTGCAATCCATGAAAGAAATCTATGTTTCTTCAAACAGCTTTGCATTCGATTGTATCTTTTAAGTGGAAAGTAATGAAAGAATGGTCCAGGGACTGTATGTCAGGAATGAAGCTCATGGACCCTTTAGTCTTCACATATATTGAATTCAACTTTAAAGCATTTTAATGAATTGAATCGTCGTTTTAGCTTTACTTATCAAGGAGTTTTATGATATGCAAATTTGAATTAAAAAAACCCTCTGCTAACTCGACTATTTTCTTTTGCAGGTGAAACTCAAAATCAAAAGATTTATTATTTCATGGAATACTTGTATGATAGCAAATCACTGTCAAATTTTTCCATGTCATTAAGTATAATTCGTATAATTCTTAATGCAGAACTGTTTCTCATCTAGCTAAAAACGAACGATCGATTTCTGTAACAAGCGTTGGACCCATTGCAGATAACAATGCTCGAATCCTCGAAACCACCACAAATGAAATGACGTGTTATTGCCCTTAGAGCATTTTTGTCTTTGCAAAATGACACTTTGTGTCGGAAACCATATTCTTCTTTATATTAACAATGGCAGTTTTAGTAACAATGCACAACTTGTTTGATAAAAGCTTGTGCACTTTGTATATATCATATTTAACAAAAAGAACAGTTCGTTGCCTTAAAGGTAGAATAATTTAATCATGGCTGTTAAAAAAACCATCATTCTACAGTTAAATGTCCCTTTAACCCAGCAAATTGGATTAATTAAAATGGCTCGCGCTGTGTTACCTTGCAACCTGAAAAGAGCGCCTTTTTTACGTTGAAATAGAAAACCTTAAAACTAGATTTCTAAAACACTAGAATTTGCTAAATTTTATATACTAGATTTATATGACAATCCAGACTTAAATGACCCTTTGGTATTTGAAGTCAGGTTGTTTCTTCAAGAAAAGCCCCTCTTGAACTCGCCAAATTTTCACTTCATGGGAAAGTTTATGGTGATGATGTTTGTGAATGTTGCCTCGATGCTACATAAATAAGTAGTTAGCACCCAAAAATGAAGCGTGTAGCGTATTATGGTAACACCAGTGTACAAATTCAGCAAGTCGTTCATGAAACAAAATGTCAAGAGCACACAAACAACCATGTATAACGCGGTGCAAAACACACAGACCTGCTATAGCCTATTCTTGTACTATTCAACTACAACAATCGCATTGACTTACCAAGATCCTTGCAAACTTGTCCACAGTCTTCATCACACAAACATTGCTCCCCTTTTCCACAGAACTTATCATTCTCGCACGTCCTCACATGGCGGCAAAGCCTGCGCCAAACTTTTGGTCTCAGTCTGGGTTTGCATTTGTCAAGCTCAATCGACAAAAAGTCGTCAAAAAAAGCTACAAAAGAAAAATATCTTCATGACTTATGCATCTTTAAACTATCGATTAATATGTGATTTGTTCGAAGAAGATTTTAAAAAAGAATGATTTTAATAAAATAAGGTAATTGCTAGTTTGAATAATGCTTCGATGTATCATTATGTGCTTTAGGCATAACAGCAACTCTGTTATTTCTAATAAGAAATCATTTATAAAAATCTGCAGTAAAACCTTGCTATCACTACACAAAACTCAATGAATAACGTACTCATAACCCTAGCCAAAACAGCAATTTATCATTTACCCTCAACTTCTACACTACAATTTTGGCTGCACGATTTCAACAGGGGTAAAGGATCAAGGCGTATCTTCAATTCCAAATTGCTAATTAAAAGCTTAATTTGCTTTCATATCTTATGTCCTAATTACATTATAAATATAACTAGCAAATGATAGAATACACGTGATCTTCAACATGTAACAATATTTGCTGCTATGATCCTCTGGTATTCCATATTTTCGGCATCGCTGTATAAATCCAGGTAATGTGATTCTCAGAGGCATACTCCGAACGTTCCTTCTATGGTCGAAAACTTGATTTTAAACTTACCATATGCTTCAACTACAAGATTTGCCAATAAAATCACTTGGAAGGTTGTAAAGAGTTTCATGTTAAAAATGCATTATACGAAGAATCCTCATATCGAACTTTTAGTCTCCTTCTCAACGATCCCCTTCCGCATGAGCGCTACATTCCTTTGCTAGTATAACTCACGTCTGAACCACAAATGACATCACACACAGCTGATTCCGAGGTGCCTGTATCGAATAATTTGCTGCTTTGTTAAGATAATGATAACCCAGAGGCGAGAATTACCGACCAGTAAAAACACTCGCTTGTTGCGATGCGACCAATCAAAAAGCCCATTGATCAAAACCGAGCAGGTGTGTGAAAAAGTTGTATACTTGCCCTTCGCCGATATTCCGAGAAAATGCAATGATTGAATGGCTGTTTTCTTATACTTGATTGCCTTTTGTTCGTTAAGAAAAGTGAGCAAAGAGCAAAGCTTTATCTTAGGAGAGCTTAAAGCCGTATAAAGGAAGACACCGCGAGCGCATGAACGCGACGCGTGTACTTTGTCAATAGGAAGCGTGGCGAGGAAAATTCGGAACAGGTGGGGAACACACGTGCCCTTGTCAACAGAAAGATAGTACAGATTCATTACGAACATGGCCATTTAAGAGGGAATGAGTTGTAAAGTGCGAATTGATGATAATGAGGCAAAGTGCTATTTGCGACACATTCAACAGTGATCAGCTAAGGATTCGAAAAAGTTTTGCAGTCGAAAATGCTGCTGTTCGACCAATTTTCCCACAGTGCCTGGGAAAATTGCAATGCGGGACAGAATATCTTACACAGCACCTGTACAATATGGAAATGTTAATGGGATTCTTCATATAATCGGCGATGATAAGTCACCCTAAAGAAGCCTGGTGATACACAAGAAGGGCCTGGATTTATATAGCCAGGATTTTGCGTATGTTACGTCACACTGTGTCTTGATACTTACATTGAACATATATTTATTATTCACTCTCAACAACATGCAGAAAAACATTTAAAGATAAAAACATTGTTTATTGGTATTTGATAGATTTATTGAGGTTCAGGTTAACATATATTTTAGAAAATCCTGAGTATTATTTAATAATTTGCTTATGACTTAATTTTAATTATGTTGTCTGAATGCTGAATTTTCAAAGCAAGTATATAAAAGATGTTTCTATTTACAAGTGATTACGAAAATTAAGCCAAATTTAAACAAGAACGGATTTGTGAAACATGACTTTTTTTCTCACTTTTTATCTAATGAAACTAAATTATAAATCATTTAATATTGATTAGATTCTTCTAATTGATACTTAAAGGATACTTACTGATAGCTTTTCAGAATAAGAGATTGATATATTTTTATGCGAAATTTAAAAACTGGCGTAAGTTCTTCATCTTCTCAAAATGTTTTAAAAGTTCGCCTTCATTTCATCCCGGCTGTCTTTAATTATTGAACTACTCAGGGGCATAGTGGCCCACCGAGAAATTTCCCGGTAGGCCCCTTAAAACTTTTCATGTGGGCTCCTTGGATTTTCTTCCTTTTAAGCTTTTATCATTTGTAACATCTGATGACAAAAAAGTGAAGTAAGTTCCTACGCTGCGCTGCCTCCGCAACACTCATTTCCGACATAACATAAGCACTGAAAATGACAAAAAAATTGGCATCACAATGGTGCGCCCTAAAATCTTGATTTTCCCAGGCAATAAAATTTCCCACCACGCCCCTAGAACTACTGGAGCACCCTGTAGTCGATAAATGTAATTTAAAACTAATAATGTTCGGTAACAAAATGCAGAAATTTTACACTTTGCCCACTTAAGTGCAGCGATGCTGGTTAAATGGGTAAAACCCAAAATCTAAGCCCAGGAGGCGCGGGGGTAAGTAACCAAAATTTAGAAAACATTTCGATTCAAAAAAGTGGAGTTTTTTTCCGTCTAGAGGAGTTTCATAGAGAGGGACCTATTCAAGCAGGGTGTCTCTTCGCAAAGGGGAGTTGATTAGTTTTCAGTAGCCTGCGATCCGGATTTTCGGCAAAAAATTGTGCGTAAACCATTTCGACCTAAATTAAAATTACACGCACTTCGAATGTATGTCTGAAAAAATATGATCAGTGCCGCAATTGAAGTAATGTTTATGAAAGAATACACAGTTAGTTCCCTTTAGGCCTTACTTTATCAAAGAACCTGAGGGCGCTCATTTGAGGAATTGAACGCTAATTTGAGGCAGGAGCTCACTAACCTTTGAATTTTTAGGGATGCTTATTGGAGTGGGGTACCCATTCAAAATGGAACGTTAATTTGAATTTTGGCGATATTCAAGATTTAACTAAGCGAAGTGTTCAAAGACAAGACCTTAGGCAGGTTTAGTATGCTGTTGAAACGAAATTAGCGAAAATCCCGCGTTGCTACTTCTCGTTCGTGTGGAGATAATGTTTCGTAAATCTTGAGGTTATAGTTTGTTTGGCTTGTATTTATCAGAAACAAGAAAAAACAAACTGACTGTCAAACACTGAGGTTAAATGCCTTTTCTCGTTTACTAAATTTCTAAATAGATTAGAACAACCAAAATGGAGGCTAAGGAACAAGGGTCGAGAAGAACAAACGCCAAAGAACATAGGTTAGTTTTAGCATAACCTGGTATTTCTTAGTTAGCAATAAGGAAATTAGAATACTAGCGAACTCTGAGCTTGAGGACGCAGGAAGCGTTTATAACTAAGGTTGAAGGGGCACAACTTTTGGAAGGGCACCTTTTATTGTCACTATCCACCAAGATATTGTGAAAAAAAAACTGTGACAGTAAAAGCTTAACTTAAATGTTATTAAAGCTTTTAGAGAGGGGCAAGGTGTCCCACGTGGCCCTGGTTCTTGAGTCTCTCAGTGTCAGAGAGAATGTTTTCTCTATAAAATATCTATAGTGTAATTGCAATCAAATCCCTTATATATGGCCCCGAGCCTACACTACTTCTAAATATTTGTTGAAATTGAACACACCGATACCTAAGAAAACTTCAAACGGCAAGAATTTAAGAAACCTGGTGCTTGGCTCCGAGATTGATTGAATTTCAGGATTGCAGCTCCCCTCTTTCGATAGTCATGTAGAGAGATGTTACCGCAAATGGCTTTATCTAGAAAAATCCGCTTTCTTAGGGGATTTGCTAGAGACAAACGCCCAAGTTGTCCATATTTTTTGCATAAATATCGACAATGAACGTAAAGTCTGCCAACAGTAAAATAAAAAATGTGGTTTCATGCATCTAGAAAAAATTTTTCGGAGCAAGAATATATCCCGCTTAAGGCAGTTATACCATCAAGTTTGCTACTCACTTAAAATGTTCGCCTTTCTACTTTGCCAAGTAAGAAGATAAAAGTTTTCTCAAAAGTCCAGAAAATTGTATTATTACAAATACGCTAGCTTGACAGTTGCTCTTTGTTTATCTCATATTTTTGCATCAGTAGAGACTGCGCAGCTGGGGGGGGGGGGGCAGATGAGTAACACTTCTAATTTTTGGTAGACGTCAAAAGTTGAAAATCAATCTTTAACTGATAGTTCATAAATAGCCACAAATTATTTGTTATTACACTGATATTTGAACAGACCCAATAGCTGGTTGAGTGGGTCTGATATGAATAAGAAATTCAGTATGTTAAGCAATGGAAAATTATTTTGTATCGTGTATCTAGGTTAGTGATATACTCTGTTTTCAACTGAAAAATTATGTCCTGTTTGTTTGAAAACATCTTTGATTTGCAGGATCTTAAAAAGGATTTAAAAATCAATACGGCATAAAATGCATCGAGCCATTTGTGACAGACTTATAAAACAGTAATTTTCATTAAAAGTAGAAGCAAATGCGTTCTTGTTAATTGTGGATCCAGGTAGGAGGGAGAGCTGATAGGAAGTTCAACGTCCTTTTCATGGTAGCAAAAGGCATGCTTTTGTTTCAAATGTTTCAACATAAATCGAAACTACAAAGTGCATAATTGTCCCCTTTGCAGTCTCCCATGCAAGCTTTGAGTTCGTTTCATTTTGTAGTCTCACAATCGTTGTTTCTTTAGATTGATATTTTCTCGTTCATCGCTGATGTTTGCTGTTATTTCGTAATTAAGGTTATACAGTGTAACTAATACTAAGTTTATTGCAGTTCAAATTATAGTTAAGTTAAAGGCCTGCTTGTCCTAGATATCATTCAAAAAAAAGTAAACACGGTTAAAATCGATGACTCTTTTCGAATGGGGATCATTAGGATACCAAATTATCTCAGAAATGATTCACGGCTATTGGAAACAATCAAAGAAAGTAAAATGTTGAACTATTAAGAGTAACGTTAGACAACAACTTAGATCTGAAGAGCATTTTAAAAGATTTGTGCAAAGAACCTGGAAGAAAAGTAATTGCTCTAGCCAGAGTTGCCTCTTACATGGATCATTCTAATCAAATACTTCCAACGAAAACATTCATTTTACATTTGTATTTGTAGTAGCAAAAGCAAACACTGGAAAATAGGACACATTAAAGAGAAAATAAAAGCTCATAGCGGTTATCAATTTGTTTTTGAACAGCGTTTAATAGAGAATAAAGCAATAAAATCTCATAGAAAATTTACCATATCTTGCGATTGGAATAGTTGAAGCATTTAACAGCTTTAAGGGTGATCCATCCTTTAGGCATGATCACAATACAAAATACATTGATTTGATAGCTTGTCATATAGATGTAGGCAAATAGATAGATGAATACAAAAGAAAAGAAGTTGGTATTAGAAAACTGAGCACTGTCTACTTACGATTTTCAAAGAGCTTGAAGTGCCGTGCTCTTCTCTACACCAACCTGATTCACCCCTGCAATGTTAACGGAACACTATGTCATCTAGACAAAAAGACTGTTGAATGTGTACCTCCGTCATTGTATTTGTTTGATTTCGTGCAAGTAACTGTTCTATCCACTCTTTTCAAATGCTTCCAGTTCCATTGTTTGCATGGCATGCTCCGCGAATCTGCAGGAAAAGGAAATAATTTTAAGGAAACCAAGCAAATGCACCTTTTTTAATTTTTCATGCCGTAACATAACTTAGCCATAGCCGTTTCTTCACTCAAGGAGGGCCTTGTATCATAATTGCAGAGTGGCTATCACTATCAGGCCGTCAGGATCCGGTTGAATGTTTAACCACACCCACAAAAGTAGCTGCATTCAGTATACTTT